TTAGGGTTTTTTATGTACAATATCATGTCATCTGCAAATAGTGACAGTTTAACTTCTTCTTTACCAATCTGGATTCCTTGTATTTCTTTGTTTTGTCTGATTGCCGTGGCTAGGACCTCCAGTACTATGTTGAATAATAGTGGGGAGAGTGGGCATCCCTGTCTAATTCCCAATCTCAGAGGAAAAGCTTTCAGCCTCTCACTGTTCAGTATGATGTTGGCTGTGGGTTTATCATATATGGCCTTTATTATGTTGAGGTACTTGCCCTCTATGCCCATTTTGTTGAGAGTTTTTATCATGAATGGATGTTGAATTTTGTCGAATGCTTTTTCAGCATCTATGGAGATGATCATGTGGTTTTTGTCCTTCTTTTTGTTGATGTGGTGGATGATGTTGATGAATTTTGTCAGGGGAAGAGAGGGAAGGGCTTTGTAGGTGCAGAAAATAGCACATACCAGCCGATGGAGACATGGATCGGCATCTTGGCTACAGGTACCAGAAAAGGAAAGTCCTTTTGGAATTTGGCACCAAATGGCCATTTGCAGATTGAGCAGTGTGTGTCATCTGCCTGCCATGAACCTGGCCGGAAACAGCCCCTCAGTTATAAAGCTGTCTCTTCCCACTCTTCTTGCTTGTTCATGGAAGGAAAGCCCAGGTTCTGAATTAGCTTCTCTGTTCCACCTTGGAAATGATTTTATGTCTTGGCAGCTAAGAGCCCTTTTCTGAGTATCTAAAGTCTATAATAATCAGTTTTGAGACAAGTACATATTTTGGAGGATGTACAGAGGAGAAAACAGTCTGTATAATATGAGGCAAATCTAGTAGTGAAGTGGCAGAGTTATTGTTTTTCCACCATCTGTGGCATCAAAAAGAAAATGACAGCTTCTCAGTGTATGCCGTCAAGCTGCTCATTGCTTTTCTGCCTGATGAGTCAGAGGACAGAGCTAATCTTTGTTCATACTATGCTCTGGCATATTTGTTTTCACCTTCTGGCTCAATAATTATTGCTTTTTCAGTCAGAAGAAACTAGCTCAGAGAAAAGAATTCTTCATTCAACACTGTTGCTTTGAGGGAACTTTGATAGATGATGTAGTGAATTACTGAATAACAGGTGTCTGAAAATTCAAATTGCCTGATCCATGTAAAAACATGCATTAGACTATGTATTACTTGTTTTCTTACTTTGTGTCCACATTCAAGAAAATGTCTTAAAATTTCAAATAATAATCTTCTAAAAGCTACTTTAATTCTCAGATATTTAAAAATTCCAGCTATTCCACTCCTAGGTATATACCCAAGAGGAATGAAAACATATGTTCACACAAACACTGGTCATGAATGTTCATGGCAGCATTATTCATAGCAGCAAAATATGGAGACAACCCAAATGTCCTGCAACTGGTGAGCAGATAAACAAAATGCAGTACATCTGTAAAATGGAAATTTATTTGGCAATTAAAAAGAAGAATGAGGTAGTGGTAAACACTATGACATGGATGAACCTCAAAGACATTTGCTAAGTGATAAAAGCCAGACACAAAGGCCACGTATTTTGTGATTCCATTTGCATGAAATGTCCAGAATAAGCAAAATAATGGAGACAGTAAGTTGATTAGTGGTTGTCTGGTGCTGGGATGGAGGGTCGGGGAAACGGGAATGGAGCGTGACTGCTAAGGAATGGGCCTGAGGTTTCTCCTTGAGGTGTTGAAATGTTTTAAAATTACTTATGGTGGTGGTTGCCTAATTCTGTGAATATAGTAAAAGCTACCTAACGTATACTTTGGGTGAAATTTGTGGTATATGAAATAAATCTCAATGAAGTTGTAAAACAAACAAACAAAAAAAAACAACCAGCAAACCCAAGTATGAATCTTTACAGTCTCTTAGAGATACCTTAGTGCCTGTTCATGTACTAATTTTTTTGACACTTTCTTGCAGAAGTTACCATAACAGTAGCGAGAGTCATAGGCTGTGCACTTAGGAGGTTGGTGTGCCAGCTCTGCTGCTGGCTGGCTGCATGAGCTTGTCCAGGTTCCTTATGCCTAGATCTGGAGTTCAGGGGCCACCTGGCTGGCAGTCCATCCCCGGTCATGTCCAAGTATGTCTTGTTAAGTAAAGTGTCTGCAGAGCAGGGTTTCTGAACCTTGGCATTACTGCGTGTTAGGCTGGACAATTCTTCACTGTGGTGGCTGCCCTGTCTGTGGTGTGAAGCAGCATTCTTACATCTACCCATTAGCCAGCAGTAGCCGACAGTCAAAAATGTCTCCAGGTTTTGCCAAATGTTTCCTGCAGAACAGAATTGTCCACGGTTTAAAACCCATGAGTGTAGAAGATGCTAGAATAACAGTTTGGAAATAACTAAAACTATGTGCTCTCTACCTATGAAGAACTAATAAGTTAACATGTGCAAAAAATATCATTTGGGGTATCTTTGATTTTGCAGATGATTAGAAGAATTGTTTTGCTAACATTTACTATATTAATCAGATCCCTATTTTATCTGTAGTCATGAATAGAAGATGAGCAGAAAAGGGGATACACTAAGAGCTGTTGGGTTCTCTTTGGAGTGAGACAGGGTGTCATTAAATATATACAAGCATAATTTTAAAAAAGAAATAAGGAAAAAAACAAAACCTAAGAGGAAGGTTCAGTAATTGAGGGCAAGATAACTGGGAGGTGCCTACGTTTACCTTTTAGTTCTTTCCAAGGTAGACATAGGTTATCCAGATTTGTTCTTTCTCATATCTCCTGTTCAAAGCTCAGAACTGTGAATGATATGATAAATTTTTCTCTAGAGAAAGAACCAAAGAAAGCTATAAACTGAAATCCAGATAGCCAGGCAGTCATCCTTATCCTCCAAAGTGCTCCGAAACTGTTTCTAATGGGCCTGCAGTGGAGTCCCAGGCTTCCCCTGTTCTCAGAGTATAATGCACCGCTTGCATTGCAGTCTGTAAACTTCTTGCTCTTCATACTTTTCTATACAGATTAAAAATCTTACATAGTTTGTTGGGCTGCATTATTTAATAAATAACACGTGAAATATTTATACTGTTTCTAAAGACATGAATTATTCATATCTCCTGAAATGTACTTGATATGGGTGAAATAAAGGATTAGAAGCTATCTCTGAAAGAAATTTCAATGATGAATATGGGGATAAACTCCTACTTAAAGTACAGCTAAAACAAACCATCACTCATGAGTGTCTTTGATAATGTATATTTATGGTTGTCTGTAGTAATTACTCTTCATTACTTTTTCTAGACTAAAAATACTAGATAGTTATCTGCTTTAGAACTAGAAAGATTTCTGTTTTACAATACACTCTTTCTCTCAGCTGTAGAAAATGAACATAAAGGTTTTAATCAGAGTATACTTTAATGTAATTGTCAGTTGATTCTTTACTCTGAGTACTTACAACTAGCCATTTTTATACAGAACTGAAAAATATGTTTTATAGGGCCTGCTTTGGATTCAGTATTAGCAAGATATTCAAAGCTACTGAACCAAGATTATTAATTCATAATGGTTTGTCTTTGGTTAACTACATTAACAGTACGTGTTGTTTTAGGAAAAGGGTGCATACAAGGAAAACATTGTACTCCAAAACCTAAAGTTACTGTTCTTGAAAAATAAGCATGGTAAAGCTGAGGTTACTTCAAAAATAATTCATTTTATTCATCTTGGAGTGAGGCCGTGATGAAAAGGGAAACACAAAATTGCCCTTCTTAACACAGCAAACTGCAGAGAAAGTCAGGAGAGAATATCCTTGAAAGCTCTACAAGGTAACATTGCTTTTCAAATCTGGACTTTTGAAAAGTGGGAGCTGCTGAATGGCAATGATCATTCCCTGGCCCTTATGGATAAGCTCTTCCTTTACTTGCATATGCCTCAGCATGCCATCACATCATGGAGTGAATGCCTCTGGCCCCCGTGGAATTCTCCATTCCCCACTCTCGTAAACTTCAAAGGGAGACGTTAAAGGCATGGTCTGTGTCCTTGCTGAATTAAACAGAGAGAAACAGTTTATATAATTATAAAACACACCCCACAGCATGAAACAAGAGGACAAGAATGTAATTGTCACTTTAGCTCCACCACTGCCAAGCCTCATCAGTGGAAAACAAAAGATTGATTGGATGTCATTTGGAAAACAAAGTGAGATGTCATTTGGAATCTAATCAGCTGGACAGGAAGTTTTAGACTATAGTTTTAGGACTGCCTGTGGAATGATGGCCTAACTGAAATGCCCATCTTGAACCACAAGGTGCAGGATCAAGAGCTTAGATAAACACACACAAGCTTTTTAAAGAAGATGGAGACAACCACAAATAAACTGCAGAGAGGCAATGCTATACAAAGAACAGTGACGGTGGCTCTGTACAGTTAGCATACTACAGCTGTGAGTTCATGGTAAGAAGTCTATTCCAGCTTTATCATATTTGTCTGTGTTAAGGAGTAGATGAGAATATCTGTTTCTTGTATAGCTTAAGAAGAGAAATTATATCAAAAAAAGAATAGACTGGATCAATAAAAGTCATCAGGAATAATATCTCATTCTTTGTGATTCTAAGAGCTCTATTTCTCAAAATTATTTGTACGATATTGTTTAGAAACTCCTGGGTGATTTTGTTTTCAGACTTCTTATAAGTAGGTTTCTTGAACATTCTTTCTCCTCCTGTCTGACTTTTGTACCTGAGTAGTAGAATAGAACTAGAATGTATGCTAAGATGTGTATGAGTGCTCAACTGCCCAAATACAAAATCAGGACATTCCTGAGAAGCTTGTGGAGGCTTGAGGAGGAATAAGGGAAAGTCTGGAATCAGAAACAGAAATAGCAGAATGCAAAAACAGCAACAATGGAAAGCCAACCGTGCTCCAGAAGGTGGCAGCAGGGGTGGTGATGAAACTATTGGAAGCCAGGAAGAGTTCTGGGTCTCTGTAAAACTGTCTGTGAGATTTAACCTTTCCTTACATACATGACTGAGAGTTTTGATCAGCTAAAACTTTTTGAACAGTGAATGTCCAAGCCACAATCCCCAGCCATTTGTTCACTGACTGTTCTCTAGCTGTCTCAGGCAGACCCTGTAGTGTGCATAGAGAGGAATAAAAGAGTACATAGCCAATTACCAAAGTTGTGATCCTTGTGTACTGTTAGAGATGTTAGAGAGGCTGCTTTGGCAACTGGAGAGCCCTGATGCAGTTCAACCTGGATTTGAATCCAGCATTACACTCCCAGTTCATGAACAGCCTGACCTGTGGCAGCACATTTTCCTGGATGTAAAATCCTAGATCCATTTACTTAAGTTACTTAAGTTACTCAAGATTAATCTTGAGAAAGATATTTAACCTTGGTAAGCATCCATACTATTAAATAGGAGTAACAGTAGTAAAAGGTAAAATACATGCTGTCTGTCCCCTGATTAAAACCCTCCAATGCTTCCCATCTGAGAATAAATCCATACTCTGTTCAAGGCTGACAAGATCCCCATCATTGGGCCCTTGCTTATCCTATCACTCTGATTTATTCTCTTCATTAACACTATCTTAAATTATCTTTGAGTTTGTTTGCTTTGTTATCTGTCTTTCCATACTATTTTCTCTGCAGCTGACAACAGAGACTTTGTCCATCTTATTCATTGCTGTGGTCGCAGAACCTAGAACAGTGCCAGGTTCAATAGATGTTCAGTAACTATTTGTTTAATTTATTGAGTAAATAAGTACACACTATGACATGCAAAGAACAGTACAGGGCCTAGTAAGTAATAAACATACTGTAATTATCCCCTACAGCCTCTGCTGTTGCCACCATTATTACTTGTCTCATGTATTAGGGCTTTGCATATGATTTCATTTGGAAAAAAGCTGGCTACCAGAAAGCAAGTTTAAAGTTAGTATACTGAAGTATACACATATCAGAATATTGAGGTGTACACCTTATATATGTACAATTTGTGTATATCAATCATAATAAAATTATTTAAAAAGCAAGTACACTACTAAGAGAAATAAAATCTCATTTGAAGAAATAACCTCAGTTTCAAATTTTTAGTAGTAAAACAAAGACAGGTTTTTAAACGCATTGCTTAATTCTTCCCATTTAGTGTGTAGATGATTTTTTGTCTGCAACTACAAAGCAAGCAGGTCCAGAAGGGAAAGTTTATTCATGGTACTTTATTATTATTATTATTATTATTATTATTAAGATATCATTAATATACACTCTTATGAAGGTTTCACAAGAAAAACAATGTGGTTACTACATTCACCCTTATTATCGAATGCCCCCATACTCCATTGCAGTCACTGTCCATCAGTGTAGTAAGATGCCACAGAGTCGCTACTTGTCTTCTCTGTGCTACACTGTCTTCCCCGAGACCCCACACACACCATGTGCACTAATCATGATACCCCACAATCCCCTTCTACCTCCTCCCCACCCACCATCCCCCACCCCTCCCCTTTGGTAACCCTAGTCTCTTCTTGGAGTCTATTTTCACGGTACTTTTTATCCAAGGTCAACAAATCACCTTATCAAAGAGGAAGGAAGAAATGAATTTGAGTCAACTAAAATAGGATTCACCTTTCTCCTCCTCAAAAAAGCAAAAACTAAAACATGGTGAGAATGCTATTAGTCTATATTTTATTTCCATTTCTACTCCAGGTCTTGTCACATCTGCAAACTTCCTGGAAGAATGATGGGGATTCGAGTGCTTCGTTTCTCTTTGGTGGTCATCCTTGTGCTACTTCTGGTAGCTGGGGCTCTGACCACTTTACTTCCTAATATCAAAGAAGATAAGATGCTCTCTCTGCGTAGGGAGATAAAGTCCCAGGGCAAGTCCACCCTGCACTCCTTTACTCTCATAATGCAGACATACAACAGAACGGATCTCTTATTGAGACTTTTAAATCATTATCAGGCAGTGCCACAGCTGCACAAAGTGATTGTGGTATGGAACAATATTGGGGAGAAGGGACCAGGTGAACTCTGGCATTCTCTAGGGCCTCACCCTGTCCCTGTGATCTTCAAGCCACAGACAGCAAACAGGATGAGAAATCGACTCCAGGTCTTTCCTGAGCTGGAAACCAATGGTGAGTTGCCTCTGGGTCCCTCAGCAGGCAGCGCTGTGGCCAACCACAGCTGGGGGCGGGGGTGTGATTTCTGGCCTGCTACTTGTCTTAACTCTGTTGAGAAAAGAGGGAAATTTAGTCATATGAAAGTACTTTGAAAAACTTAAGGGGCAGTTTCCAAGAAGCAGTTTCCTGGGGAAGAAATCACATAACATTGTGCATCGGTGACAGAGGTTAATGTGAAAAAAGATAAGCTAAAATTATGCGTTTGCATCACAGAAGGTAGCAAAATGCCATTTAGCTTATGCTAAATGTATCTTCTGCCACCTCCTTTTCTTTCTTGTTCACAGTAGTTTCATGAGATTGTAATTTGCTTAAAAGATCCTCAGTTTTATTCATGTTTAGGTTCATTAGTTTCTAGAATGATGGATGATAACTACATGGTAATTTTCCCTTCAAGCAGTTATAGAATCTATCACAATTCAACCAGAAACATTTTCAGCTAGACAAAGGTCTCCAAAAATACATTTCTTATTTACTCATTTTGTTCAGAAAGTACTTCATTGGAATGAGCTATGTAGACACCATTGTATCTTACCTAGTTTTGTTTTCATTTCTGAACTGGTGGATTTAAATTTTTTTCCTTTCATTACAGCGGTGTTAATGGTAGATGATGACATGCTAATTAGCGCCCAAGACCTTGTTTTTGCTTTCTCAGTGTGGCAGGTAACGTTGCTATGTCTTTTATCCAATCATCAGTATAAATTCTTACCTAGTGGTTAGCCGAGACAGCATGGCTTACCACAGGAATCCCCCAAAACAGTGTAGATAATATTTATCTATAAGGTGGATACATTTGTTATATGGTAGTCAAGATTTTCTCTGCTCAGGCCAAGCTGAAAGTTACGGCATCTTTTATCTGTATTTGATTTATATTTGGTGTACTGGGGAGACGAGATAGATGTACCTCCCAAAGGACAATGAGGAAATAATTTGGTACAGCAAAGATTAGAATCTAGAAATATTTTCCACAAGGCTACAGACCTGTGTCTCAAATGAGAAGTGTATTTTTATATAAATATTGTATGTAACTCTCACTAAAAGAAAGCATTTATTACACCTACAAAATTTAATCCTGATTCTGAAAAACATTGTTTAGAAATTAATAATTCTACATTCATCATTATGATGGCAGTTGTCCCTCGCCTTCCCCCACCCCCAAATTCTAGCTGGGATAAATAGGCATAAATTATTCACTATTCTATGAAAACAACTCTTTCCTATTGAATATGAGTTAATCGTAGCTGACTTTCACAAGCCACACTACAGTGACCTACCACCAGAACTGCATACACATATTCTGAAGTCCTGTCAAATAATTAACGCTCTACTGCGCAAGAAACGGTCTAATTTGCACTATAGCAACTCTCCTTCATTAACTACTGGGGATATAACAACATTAGATATTAATCGTAAGTGGTCAAAGTATTCTGCAGATATAAGTATTCTGCACATACAACAGTCTCAAAACTTAGTTTTTACCTTCATGCCTCCTGATCAACATATTCAACATAGCAGCAGTTTTCCAGCCCTATAAATAAAAGCTTCTTAGGCAAAACGTTCTAATGTAATACTCCAGCTGTGAGACTTCTGTTTCAGGTGAAAAATCATTTACCTGAAATGTCAGGGGTGGGGGAAATACGAGAACTGAACTTAATTAGAACAATCAGAATAAACCATAATTACAAATGGATAAATACAATTTTAAGTTTTATTCATAAACATAACAATTTCAGTCTTTTGCCAATATAACCTGACCCCTAAAGTCTGGGCTCGCTATTGTCCTGCAGAGTGTAATGATTTGGGGTGTAGAGGCAAGCAAGATTAGAGCAGACATTTTTCTGTGCCTTTGCACACACTCCCTAATTAGGGCCTTCCCTCTTCCTGCTCTAGCCATCTGGGAAACTTCTTTCATCCTCCTAGATTATGTAATGAATGGTGCATCTTCCCTGAATCCTCTCAACCTTTACTTCCCCATCCTCTGACCTTCCCCTTTAACCTCCAGCAACACAGTTGCCCTTCTGTCCTCAGGCTCTCATGAGATTTACCCAACTGCACTTACAGCTTTCTCACAGTATGGCAGTATGGTAATTGTATGTTTGCATATCTGAGTCATACCCTCTGTAGACTATGAATTCTTTGAAATGGGGTTTAACCAAGTTCTGGTGTTCTGGGGTGTGTGTGTGTGTGTGTGTGTGTGTGTGCGCGCGTCCTTAGTTGAGTGCCTATTCAGTGAGTGAAACTCAAATTATGAGATTGAACTAAACCATTGTGTGTGGTGTGTGTGTGTGTGTGTGTGTCCGTCCTTAGTTGAGTGCCTATTCAGTGTGTGTGTGTGTGTGTGTGTGTGTGTGTGTGTCCGTCCTTAGTTGAGTGCCTATTCAGTGAGTGAAACTCAAATTTATGAGATTGAACTAAACCATTGTGTGTGCTGTGTGTGTCCGTCCTTAGTTGAGTGCCTATTCAGTGTGTGTGTGTGTGTGTCCGTCCTTAGTTGAGTGCCTATTCAGTGAGTGAAACTCAAATTTATGAGATTGAACTAAACCATTTAATTTTTCAAGTTCTTACCTCTTTCCCATACTTCACTGGTTTTCTTTTGTTTGTAGGTTTTGGTGGGTTTTTTCTTTCATTTTTTTAGTTACTCCCATCTTAATATTATTGTTTTACCACTAGCCTTTCTTCAAAGATCGTAACACATCTCATTTTAAAGAAGGAAACACTCAGATTTTAAAAAAGGAAACAACCAAGCTGAGAGGAGGTAAAAATACAACATTGTTTAAAATCTACAGCGACTTTCAAGAACCTTAAAATTTTAAATCTGCAGTGACTTTTAAGAACTGTAAAATCAACATGGAGAAACAGTAAAATCATATGTGTAGATCCATAATTTTATATACTCATCAGAGAGTAAAGCAATTTTCACAACTATCACATTCTATCTTTAATATCAGACAATATTTGAATTAAGAGAACATTTGTAAGGTCAGAAATTTTGTTAAGAGATTTGGGTTGTGATGGAATTTGACCCTAAAACATACCAGGACATAGATTTATGAAGTTGCCTGAAGTAAGATGAAATTGCGATGTAGAAGCCAAGACAAAATCCAGTTGACAAATCATTTTAATTCTCTGTAATGAATCTTTGCCATTTTCACTATGTCTGCTGTACAGAAATGCCACACTTAATTGTTCTTTTTCCATTTTTCTAGCAATTTCCTGATCAAATCGTAGGATTTGTTCCTAGAAAGCATGTCTCTACTTCATCAGGTATCTACAGCTATGGAGGTTTTGAACTGCAAACACCAGGGTTTGAAAATGGTGACCAGTACTCGATGGTGCTGATCGGAGCCTCATTCTTCAATAGCAAATACCTTGAACTCTTTCAGAGGCAACCTGCAGCTGTCCATGCTTTAATAGATGAAATGCAAAACTGTGACGATATTGCCATGAATTTTATCATTGCCAAGCACATTGGGAAAACGTCAGGGATATTTGTGAAACCTGTAAACATCGGTAATTTAGAAAAAGAAACCAACAGTGGCTATTCTGGGATGTGGCATCGAGCTGAGCACTTTCTGCAGAGGTCTTACTGTATAAATAAGCTTGTTAGTATCTATGATGGCATACCCTTAAAATACTCCAACATTATGATTTCTCAGTTTGGTTTTCCATATGCCAACCACAAAAGTAAAATGTGAAAGTAAAATAAACAAATCTCAAAACTGCTTAGTATTTGAGTAGCTTCTCCATGCTATGGTTGGGTTGTTTGTTTGTTTGTTTTTCTTAAGCAATATGATCATTTATCCATTCAGAAGTCTCAACAAAGGGAAAAAAATCTATAATGCTTCTAGGATATAAAATTCACATGAACTTCAAAAAACCAAGAAGGCAGTGTTATGCAGACAGGTCTTGTGAAGAGTTTTCATCCATGGATGTAACTCCTTAGTCAGTGATTTTATTGTTTACACTCAGACTGTCTACAGTTTCTTTGACTCCTGGCATATGCCTTAAGGACCTAAAGCAGTCCGTTTCCAGGAACAGAAACTCTTATTTCTCAGCTTTTTAATTAAAGGTTGATTGTTTTAATTTGAGACCTGAAATGCCTCTGTGGCAAGTCTGTGGTGTAGGGAAGAACCATGTGAGGAGAGAATCGTCTCAATCTCACACAAAATGTGGGCAATGTGTGACTATCAGCGCTTCCCTTGCAATCCTTCCAACCAGCCCTTTCCAGGACTGAGAGTCTGGCATGCAGCCATCAGTGCTTTTATTTTTGTTGATAAGCCCTTTGCAACTGGGAGGGTCGATTTTAGAAGGATATCTAGTTGTTTGCTTGATTTTTGTGAAATTGCATGGATCACAAAAAATCTGCCTATGTTTCTTACATACAACTCACATACAGCAAGGAGCAAATGTGTTACTGGGTTCAGGTAGTGCATTTTGTCACTGAATCTGACCTTGAGATTGTACATGAATTCTTACATTTTACATAATGTATGTGTTGTTTAAGAAATGCGTAAAATAACTCTGCCGAAAGAACTGGCAGAAGTTAAAACCGTTCGTATCAAGAGATCTTCATCGTTAGAGAATAAGTTATCTCATAGGTACTAAAGAGTGGTGGGTATTATACAAAAGTCAATCTCTTGTATTCAGAGCTTCTTTTTTTTCTTTTTTCTTTTCAAAAAAGATGAAAAGAGCTATTCATGATGAAATTTCAGTTATACAGACAACAAGAAAAAATTAGAACTGAGTCATAGCTGAGGAATTCTATAGGGAGTCTGCATCAGCTAATTAAGTTGCCCACCTCTGTTATGTGAATTGGTATCTATCTGTCTAATAACACTATCTGTGGTCCTTGTTTACTACTGGTAACAAGGAATACTTATTTAGGTCTCTGTCTCTTCTCTTTCCACTCCTCCTCCTCCAATAATGGCATTATATTCTCACAATTGCAAAGCTGTGAAAATACTATAATAATAACGGTTAATGTTCCAGCAGTGAGGTCTCTGTGCCGTTAGTTCTTTACATTGGTATGTGTATGTGTCTTAACGGAGTCAGATAAAACCAATAGAACTTGGAACTTCACTAAAAATCTGTGTTAATTATCTGCTTTGTTCAACCTTAGTAGTGATTTTTTGCCTCTTGGGATTCCATTGGCAGATAAATAAAATAAACTTTTACCATCCAGGTGTTCTATGTTAATTTAATCAGACACATTTTGGGGTCAGGATTTTTACATATTTCTAAATGGGTTAATAATACCTTGCTCAAGGTAAGTCAGAATCATTAACTACATAAAGGGGAATTTTCTGGTAGGAAACTATTCCCAGATTTTATTTCTCATTTTTGTGGTCTTAAAGTTAAGTATCCCATAAGGTAAACATACCAAGATTTTCAGACATTATAGAGCAAATATAAAAAAGTGAAGTAGAATCTGTTTTACAAAAACTCTTGCTTTGTGGCTAGAATTCTGCTAAAACTTTTTTCCTACATGCCTCTCATTCTTGCTCCAAATAATCCAGAGAAGAGATGATGTTCAAGCTTACACTGTGTAAGAAAGCAAGGTAGCTTAGGGGTTAAGTGTGCCAGTAGAGTACTTGGGCTCAAATCCTTCCTAGATCACATACCTACTTAACCTCTTGGAGCCTCAGCTTCCTCATCTGCAAAAATGAGAAAAATGTTTACCTAGGGGCTTGTTTTAAGTAATAAAGGAGATAGCCTGTATAAGTAGAGCACAGTATATTGCCCACTTTAAATGGTCAAATGAAAGCTGTTGGGGTGTGTCATGGGTAAGTGCAAGTAATTCTACAACTTGTCACCAAGGTTTTAGAAAGGCTTCTGGATGCACCAGCTAAAATATTTAGATATTGTTTCTACACAAAAATGGGCAAAGAACCATGGCAACTTTCATCTCATTTCCTTTATTTCAGATGCCCTTTATCTTATTATTAAAATGCTACATATTCATTCTAAATTTTGACATATTCAGAACAATATAAAGAAGAAACATAGAGTC